CTGGCTACTTGTAACTCTCAGATAAGCTTGTTTATTTGTCAAAACTACAACAACAGGCCAGGGATCCATCTGGGATTAAATGTTCATTTGCATGCACGGCGAGCTCCGAACCACTCGTACTCTCATCCTACGTTGCTAAGTTAAAAGAAATTAGCTTTCCCGCTATTCATTTCACGAAACATCGTGCATCGAATTGTGACTGATTAACACACGAACGAATAGTGGACTGTTTCATCACACGATTCTGCGATCTTTGCAAAAATTCTATAAAGTCTGTCTCGTTGCTTCTACATTCAAAATTCATTCGAAACTTGTGACGGATGTGACACTCACGAGAGCCAATAAATTCTCAAAATGACAGAAAATATACATATACATATACACATATATATATATATATATATATATATACACATATGGATAAAGTGCGTTTTACAACTGTAAACAAAGTGCAACCGATGAAATTATTTTCTCGTTATGCGTCGTTAGAATTTCACTCGGCAGTGCGTACATGTAATAAGAAGCTCTCGGCAGAGCGAAGCGCAGTCTCGATCGACGTGGAATTCAACGAGCAAAAAGATAATCGATACCCGCGTCGATAACGAGTCGCTAAAAGCGCTCCGCGGAAGGGTTACCATTCGTTTATCCAAACGACTCGTGCAACATGCCCGAGGATAGAAAGCCGTGCTCGACGGAAACTTGATTTGAACGAGCCCCGTTGTATATGCAATTAGAAGAGCGACGACCCATGTACATGTATGCACGGGTTGCATTGCGTCGTCGTTTCAAACGTACACCAACCACCATTCCCGAGCCTCGAGAATGATGAAACTAATGAGTTTCTCCCAGTTCCCTCAAGTGTATCCGTAATGCGCGTACATTGCATAACACACAGCGTCCCTCGTCTAGGTATTTGCCCGCATATTTATTCAAATCCGGTGAAATTTTCGTTTCGCTTGCAGCGAGCGAACGCTTGGAAGCGAAGGCGAGCTGGGCGAGCATCGCGCGCTAATGATATCACCCGGTCAATTACGAGGTGAGCTGAATCGGTTACGATGTATTGGATTTTCTAATTAATAGGAACAACGTTGGCGTGTTACGTAATGGCAATTAGTGGCCGTTGTCGAGCAATGTCGATTATCAATGCTATTCGGTTTTAATCGGTGCCAGGATATATCTCGCGTCGCCGAGACAGCTGAAACGATTTTCGAAATTACTGCTCGCTCGACGAGGGAACGGCCACGCTCTGTGTGTGTGATTAATTTCGCAAATTCTTTTCATTCTGCCCGTAATGCCGCACTCGGTGAAACCGTTCATTTCGCAACTCGAAGGCAAGAAACAAAGTTCCTTCTCGTCCGATCGAAGCAGTATTTGCAGTCGTCGTTTCGTGGCAACTGTCGCGCGCGATTTAATTTTAACTTAAATATAAGGTAAAGAATACGACACGGAAGAAACTGGTAAAACTCATTCTGTTTCTTTTTTTTTTTTCCTTTCTTTCTT